GCACCACATTTGAAGCCATACAAAGCCGAAACGACAAAAGCCACTTCCGGTACAACTAACATAAAAGAGGACCGGAAGGAGAGTACACTATCTTAGAAAAGATAATGGAACTAAGTTTCGCAGTTGTAAACACATGACGACCATAAATGAAACAGTAATGTGCGACTTATCAAATTTATTGGAGTCGAAAGTCGAGCTTTGTATCTGTTGCGACGATAGTGTTGTAATTCACTGCACGGCATCATACTTGTACAAACAGCACCACATTTGAAGTCATACAAAGCCGAAACGACAAGCCACTTCCGGTACAACTAATATAAAAGAGGACCGGAAGGAGAGTACACTATCTTAGAAAGATAATGGAACTAAGTTTCGCAGTTGTAAACACATGACGACCATAATGAACAGTAATGTGCGACTTATCAAATTATTGGAGTCGAAAGTCGAGCTTTGTATCTGCTGCACGATAGTGTTGTAATTCACTGCACGGCATCATACTTGTACAAACGCACCACATTTGAAGTCATACAAGCCGAAACGACAAAGCCACTTCCGGTACAACTAATATAAAAGAGGACCGGAAGAGAGTACACTATCTTAGAAAAGATAATGGAACTAAGTTTCGCAGTTGTAAACACATGACGACCATAAATGAAACAGTAATGTGCGACTTATCAAATTTATTGGAGTCGAAAGTCGAGCTTTGTATCTGTGCGACGATAGTGTTGTAATTCACTGCACGGCATCATACTTGTACAAACAGCACCACATTTGAAGTCATACAAAGCCGAAACGACAAAAGCCACTTCCGGTACAACTAATATAAAAGAGGACCGGAAGGAGAGTACACTATCTTAGAAAAGATAATGGAACTAAGTTTCGCAGTTGTAAACACATGACGACCATAAATGAAACAGTAATGTGCGACTTATCAAATTTATTGGAGTCGAAAGTCGAGCTTTGTATCTGTTGCGACGATAGTGTTGTAATTCACTGCACGGCATCATACTTGTACAAACAGCACCACATTTGAAGTCATACAAAGCCGAAACGACAAAAGCCACTTCCGGTACAACTAATATAAAAGAGGACCGGAAGGAGAGTACACTATCTTAGAAAAGATAATGGAACTAAGTTTCGCAGTTGTAAACACATGACGACCATAAATGAAACAGTAATGTGCGACTTATCAAATTTATTGGAGTCGAAAGTCGAGCTTTGTATCTGTTGCGACGATAGTGTTGTAATTCACTGCACGGCATCATACTTGTACAAACAGCACCACATTTGAAGTCATACAAAGCCGAAACGACAAAAGCCACTTCCGGTACAACTAATATAAAAGAGGACCGGAAGGAGAGTACACTATCTTAGAAAAGATAATGGAACTAAGTTTCGCAGTTGTAAACACATGACGACCATAAATGAAACAGTAATGTGCGACTTATCAAATTTATTGGAGTCGAAAGTCGAGCTTTGTATCTGTTGCGACGATAGTGTTGTAATTCACTGCACGGCATCATACTTGTACAAACAGCACCACATTTGAAGTCATACAAAGCCGAAACGACAAAAGCCACTTCCGGTACAACTAATATAAAAGAGGACCGGAAGGAGAGTACACTATCTTAGAAAAGATAATGGAACTAAGTTTCGCAGTTGTAAACACATGACGACCATAAATGAAACAGTAATGTGCGACTTATCAAATTTATTGGAGTCGAAAGTCGAGCTTTGTATCTGCTGCGACGATAGTGTTGTAATTCACTGCACGGCATCATACTTGTACAAACAGCACCACATTTGAAGTCATACAAAGCCGAAACGACAAAAGCCACTTCCGGTACAACTAATATAAAAGAGGACCGGAAGGAGAGTACACTATCTTAGAAAAGATAATGGAACTAAGTTTCGCAGTTGTAAACACATGACGACCATAAATGAAACAGTAATGTGCGACTTATCAAATTTATTGGAGTCGAAAGTCGAGCTTTGTATCTGTTGCGACGATAGTGTTGTAATTCACTGCACGGCATCATACTTGTACAAACAGCACCACATTTGAAGTCATACAAAGCCGAAACGACAAAAGCCACTTCCGGTACAACTAATATAAAAGAGGACCGGAAGGAGAGTACACTATCTTAGAAAAGATAATGGAACTAAGTTTCGCAGTTGTAAACACATGACGACCATAAATGAAACAGTAATGTGCGACTTATCAAATTTATTGGAGTCGAAAGTCGAGCTTTGTATCTGTTGCGACGATAGTGTTGTAATTCACTGCACGGCATCATACTTGTACAAACAGCACCACATTTGAAGTCATACAAAGCCGAAACGACAAAAGCCACTTCCGGTACAACTAATATAAAAGAGGACCGGAAGGAGAGTACACTATCTTAGAAAAGATAATGGAACTAAGTTTCGCAGTTGTAAACACATGACGACCATAAATGAAACAGTAATGTGCGACTTATCAAATTTATTGGAGTCGAAAGTCGAGCTTTGTATCTGTTGCGACGATAGTGTTGTAATTCACTGCACGGCATCATACTTGTACAAACAGCACCACATTTGAAGTCATACAAAGCCGAAACGACAAAAGCCACTTCCGGTACAACTAATATAAAAGAGGACCGGAAGGAGAGTACACTATCTTAGAAAAGATAACGGAACTAAGTTTCGCAGTTGTAAACACATGACGACCGTAAATGAAACAGGTAATGTGCGACTTATCAAATTTATTGGAGTCGAAAGTCGAGCTTTGTATCTGCTGCGACGATAGTGTTGTAATTCACTGCACGGCATCATACTTGTACAAACAGCACCACATTTGAAGTCATACAAAGCCGAAACGACAAAAGCCACTTCCGGTACAACTAATATAAAAGAGGACCGGAAGGAGAGTACACTATCTTAGAAAAGATAACGGAACTAAGTTTCGCAGTTGTAAACACATGACGACCGTAAATGAAACGGTAATGTGCGACTTATCAAATTTATTGGAGTCGAAAGTCGAGCTTTGTATCTGTTGCGACGATAGTGTTGTAATTCACTGCACGGCATCATACTTGTACAAACAGCATCACATTTGAAGCCATACAAAGCCGAAACGACAAAAGCCACTTCCGGTACAACTAATATAAAAGAGAACCGGAAGGAGAGTACACTATCTTAGAAAAGATAACGGAACTAAGTTTCGCAGTTGTAAACACATGACGACCGTAAATGAAACGGTAATGTGCGACTTATCAAATTTATTGGAGTCGAAAGTCGAGCTTTGTATCTGTTGCGACGATAGTGTTGTAATTCACTGCACGGCATCATACTTGTACAAACAGCATCACATTTGAAGCCATACAAAGCCGAAACGACAAAAGCCACTTCCGGTACAACTAATATAAAAGAGAACCGGAAGGAGAGTACACTATCTTAGAAAAGATAATGGAACTAAGTTTCGCAGTTGTAAACACATGACGACCATAAATGAAACGTAATGTGCGACTTATCAAATTTATTGGAGTCGAAAGTCGAGCTTTGTATCTGTTGCGACGATAGTGTTGTAATTCACTGCACGGCATCATACTTGTACAAACAGCACCACATTTGAAGTCATACAAAGCCGAAACGACAAAAGCCACTTCCGGTACAACTAATATAAAAGAGAACCGGAAGGAGAGTACACTATCTTAGAAAAGATAACGGAACTAAGTTTCGCAGTTGTAAACACATGACGACCGTAAATGAAACGTAATGTGCGACTTATCAAATTTATTGGAGTCGAAAGTCGAGCTTTGTATCTGTTGCGACGATAGTGTTGTAATTCACTGCACGGCATCATACTTGTACAAACAGCACCACATTTGAAGTCATACAAAGCCGAAACGACAAAAGCCACTTCCGGTACAACTAATATAAAAGAGGACCGGAAGGAGAGTACACTATCTTAGAAAAGATAACGGAACTAAGTTTCGCAGTTGTAAACACATGACGACCGTAAATGAAACAGTAATGTGCGACTTATCAAATTTATTGGAGTCGAAAGTCGAGCTTTGTATCTGTTGCGACGATAGTGTTGTAATTCACTGCACGGCATCATACTTGTACAAACAGCACCACATTTGAAGTCATACAAAGCCGAAACGACAAAAGCCACTTCCGGTACAACTAATATAAAAGAGACCGGAAGGAGAGTACACTATCTTAGAAAAGATAATGGAACTAAGTTTCGCAGTTGTAAACACATGACGACCTAAATGAAACAGTAATGTGCGACTTATCAAATTTATTGGAGTCGAAAGTCGAGCTTTGTATCTGTTGCGACGATAGTGTTGTAATTCACTGCACGGCATCATACTTGTACAAACAGCACCACATTTGAAGTCATACAAAGCCGAAACGACAAAAGCCACTTCCGGTACAACTAATATAAAAGAGACCGGAAGGAGAGTACACTATCTTAGAAAAGATAATGGAACTAAGTTTCGCAGTTGTAAACACATGACGACCTAAATGAAACAGTAATGTGCGACTTATCAAATTTATTGGAGTCGAAAGTCGAGCTTTGTATCTGTTGCGACGATAGTGTTGTAATTCACTGCACGGCAGCATAGCTGTGCAAACAGCACCACATTTGAAGTCATACAAAGCCGAAACGACAAAAGCCACTTCCGGTACAACTAATATAAAAGAGAACCGGAAGGAGAGTACACTATCTTAGAAAAGATAACGGAACTAAGTTTCGCAGTTGTAAACACATGACGACCGTAAATGAAACGGTAATGTGCGACTTATCAAATTTATTGGAGTCGAAAGCCGAGCTTTGTATCTGTTGCGACGATAGTGTTGTAATTCACTGCACGGCATCATACTTGTACAAACAGCACCACATTTGAAGCCATACAAAGCCGAAACGACAAAAGCCACTTCCGGTACAACTAATATAAAAGAGGACCGGAAGGAGAGTACACTATCTTAGAAAAGATAATGGAACTTACCTTCAAGCGCCCTACATAGAACAGAACTATCTGTTGGATGAGATTGCAAGATTCCGGTAAGAAAAGCAAAGCGGCTTTGTTTATCTGAGGGAAAAAACGTTAAGCAATTGTCAATTAAGTTAGAGGAGCATGATGACCAGAAATACCATACAAAACTGATAAAACAACTACTCATTGGGAGGAAGAACATTGGTACCCATCGCTTTAAAAAATACTGCGATTCCGGAAGGAGGATGAGTAAATATACATATAATGTCAAAAGGGGAAGTAGTATAAGAGTCCAAGATGCATCTTGCTGATTAGAGAGAGATGAAAAACAGGGCAGAAGGGAGCCTATCGGTGAGTTACAGACGAGTGGATATATGTGACAAAGTCCGATGATATGGTAAACCAAGCCAGGTTATACAAATGCTACAACCAAAACCTAAAAGAAAATGGTGACAGTCTCAACAAATTGTGGGAGTTGACAGTGACCGACTAGAGAACACGTTGGTACACGATTGAAAGAGTGCGGAGAACCGTTAAGGGAACTAGTGAAGAGTAAGCTGGCGAGCAGCAAATCATGATGTCGGCCACTAGAGAGCTTACTTATAAGGTTATTAGTGTGGATGATTAGTAAGCCGCGCCAAACGAGTTAAGGAAGAAGATCAGGATACCTCGTATAGTAGAATATTTCAATGAAACTTGGCGTACTTGGCGTGTGCGATGCGAAAGCTTACAACAGAAGTATGGGAGTGAAAAGAGCTTTTGGATAAGCATTTGGTTCGCAAGACGAATTGCGAGTCAACCTGAAGATACCGAATGCCGGTCAAGTAGGCCAAACGAAGTAGACGGACGACGAATTCAGATAGTAGCTAGGCATACTTTTGAGCTTCTGAGAAATGTACGAACTCAAGTGTCAGTAACATGGAAGGTATTAGGTATCACTATGCGATTCTGTCACTTCTATTTCGGTGAACTTTAGCCGTTCGATGTCTCGCAGTATAGTGCAGTTGAGGAATCAAGGGACTGGACCAAAGTGGCCGACATAGAGAGGTGGTCAACATACGGAAGTTCAGTGCCAAAACAAAGCTGAATACTGAGAATAGGGAACGAGACGACAAAAATCTGTGTTGCTCCATCGTAGGTGGATAGGAAACATGTGCTGAGTCACGTCGCTGATTCCTGTGCGGTGACAGCATATTGCAGCTGCACTACATGTTATCCGAGCGCGATACGCTCCTTATACCTGTAGTCCGCAAAGTGAGCGTCAAGGAATCTCTTAAATACAGACACCGAGTTCGTCTCGACTATTGTCTCGGGCAACTTGTTTCAATAGTTCACCATTCGACGCTCGAAGTATAGAGGGTGAGCGATGTGCATTAAATCCGGTACCACCAGTTTGTACCGGTGCCCGCGTATGCTTCTTGGTGCGCGAACGTGTAGCAACGCCTTCAACGTAGGGAAGTGGCTCAGCTGTTGTAATTGGTGCGTCATAATGAGATCAACTCGAAGCCGACGACATGAGAGGGTACAAAGCTCTAGTCTCCTACTTCGACCATCGTACGACATACCCAGTAAACTGGGGATGAGCCGGGTAGTTACATGCTGGACCCGTTCTATTCTCTGCACCTTACCTATTGTGACCGGACAGTAGGCGAGTGAGCCGTACATAAGTACCGGTCTTAGTATGGAAGAGAACAGATGGATGGCAATCTATCCAGACCAAGTGCAGAAGCTGCGCCTAAGTGTCCAAAGCATGCGTAATCCGCTTGCGTAGTCTCTTCATGTTATCGAGACTTCAGATCACAGTGTGAGAGTACGTCTAGATCCTTTGCGGAACTGATGGGATGCAGCGGGTGACCGGTCAGGGTGTACACACGCCCATTACCAACCCTCCCCAGGCTCATATACGAGGAGTTGGCCCGGTTGACCAGTAGGTCAACTTCTGCAGACCAGCGGGATAGGCGGTCGAGGAGGTCCTGCTAAAGGACGTCACAGTCGCCGGGAGAATCAATAATTCTCCAGATCTTCAGGTCATCTGCAAATAATGTGCAGGGTGACCGAAGAAGCTGAGGTACTGTGTTGATGTGGATCAGGAACAAAATGGGTCCCAATACTGTGCCTGGGGGTGCGCCGCTAGTGGACGGATAGCATTCCGTTAGGTGGTTAACCACTTGAATTCGCCATTTTCTCACTTTAAGGAAGTCACTGACCCACTGGTGCAGTGCGCCACCAACCCCACCGATCATCAGCTTGGGGAGCAGGACCTCGTGGTTCATTATATCGAAAGCTTTACTGAAATCAATGTAGATAACATCTACTGACTTCCCCCGGTTCAATGCTTGCAAATATATCTGCTACGTCAACAGCAGGTTGGTGATGCAAGAGCGGCCCCTCATGAAACCGGGCTGTGCCGGCGTTAGGACATCTTTCGACTCCAGCACCTGGAGAAGACCCCTTTTCACAATCTTCTCGAGCACCTTCGCCAAAACAGAAGTGAGACAAATCGGCTGGTACTTGTTCAGATTGCGTGGGTCGCCACCTTTTGGAATCGGCTTTACTACCGAGTATTTCCAGTCGCTCGGCAACGCACCCTCGGACAGTGAGCTGTTGTACAGATCCATCAAGGCAGGCAAGATGATGGCCGCTAAGGACTTTAAAATTAACAGGTGAAATCCATCGGGTCCGGCAGGTTTCGCGCCGTAAAGACTAGCGAGTAGACTGCGGACATCTTTTATACCGCAATCCAGACCCTCGAGTTCAGTAGGGTCTGCACACGTCGAGCTCGGCATAGGCGCATGCCCACTTGTAAATATGGAAGCGAAGTGCTCCGCCAATGTGGACGCACATTGTGCTGGAGGTCAGAGGATGTCCGTCAGTGCCCTCCAACACATCTACGTCGATTGCGGACCTCTGGCGCCGCTACACGTAAGCAAAAAATCTTCTTGCACAGGTTGCGCAACCTACTTTCCCGTTGTGAGTAGTATAGCATGAAAATTATTCTTACATAAACCCGTTTCGAACATGTTGGACGAGGTCTCACATACTGGAAAACGGCGTTTAACCAAACAGTGTTAAAAGAAATCAAAACGTAGCGTACATTTCGCAAATTACATCATTTTTGAAATCAATATTTCTTTTTCAGCACAAAGGTAACTGAAAAAGCGCTCTCAACACGAGCCATGCTACTCAGCATGCTTCGACATTTTCCCATAGCTTTTGGTGCTTTTCCAGGCGTGTTAAGGCCTGCTGACTGTGAGGGGACCGCGATGAATTCCCTCTGAAATACAGGATTTCAGCTGCATGAAAAGAGGTTTTATGTAATCTTTTTTGGAGTGCCTGTGGCCTATAAATCATCATCACCCAGTCCTTATTCTTCATCAGCATCCTCGTGTGTCTGTTCTTTGTTTCCGTAGGGGAGTACCGCAGCCAGTATCACTCGGAAAATAGCATCTGGGTCTGGTTAAGTGCAAGTTAACGAGTCATCATCCATTTCAACAAACCCTGAAATCTATTCCGTCGAACTGTGCCAATGGAGCTAGAATGTCTAATAAGGCGACGGCATCCCGCTTGAGAGGCTGAACACTTCTGCATTATTTCAGGTTGAACTTTGAACCAAGCGGAAATTATCCGAAGCACAGCATCAAAGGAATTAACTGAAGCAACAGATGAAGTTCCTTCCGCATGAGAATCATTAGTTTGTAATTTTGCCATAGCCCATTGCATGAGCAGGGCTCGGTAGTGCATTCTGAATGTTTTGATGATCGCTTTGTCCAAAGGTTGAATTTGTGAGGTCATGTTTGGAGGCAGAAACCTAGGTGTAATATTTGTGAGATATTCTACATGGGCGTGACAAGGACAGTTGTCCACTATTAGGATAATGAAGCGTTTCTTCTTCATCTTTTCCTTGTCGACGCTTTGATCCAATCCTCAAACATGGCAACAGTCATCCACGCAGATCGGTTTGGTCTACAGCTGACTGGAAGGTTTTCAGTATTTAAATTTTTGAACGCACGTGGTCTAGCTGATTTACCAATGGCCGGGGGTTTTAGCATCTCCCCACTTGAGCTTGTGCAAAACAGAACTGTGAAAAAGAGGGTTTCGGTGTGGCTTGCTCCCATTTCTGCACTCCTCAAACGACGGTTTCGTCATGGTTTGGACTTAGTAGGTAGAGATAACCGAGCTGGGAGTGGAACACGGGACATAGTGCTTAGCGGCTATCGCCATGACCACTAGGCCATTGAGCTCCGTGAGTAGTGCTTGACACAGTGGTTAGAAGATAATTTTCGGGTTTTGGAGCATCCGCCGTGTGTCTTGGATTGCGACACACAATCTCCATTGCGGCCTCCGTCGACTTTGGATTCAACCTCTGTCAATACGAGTGCCGGGACAATCACTGAAGTGAAGGATTTCGGTGTGGCTCTCTCCCATGCAATTACGAAGTGTGAAACGTTCGTAGTAAAGTTTTCCAGCCTTACATAAGTCACCCTTTATAACAAGGCGTCTGTTGGGGATCGCGTTGAAAAAGAGACCGCACTCGTCAACGTTGAAAATGGCATCAAGGTTGAAGCACTTGCAGAAAGTGGAAAAGTTTTCTATGTGATCTTGAATAAGCTCTACAGAAAGTTCATTGGATTCACCGCACAAAACCCTTTCGGAAATTTCATGTCGGAGTTTAAATTTCTCTAGCCTAGAAATCTGCAACCCCAAGTTCGTTCGATAACCTTTTAGCAAGTTCTTGAATCATCGGCCCAGAAATTCTAGCGTTACCTATCCTCATTTGCTTGAACCAGCGCAGCGTAGCATCATTGATTTCTCCGTGGGCAGTGTAACAGATTTGCGCACTCCTGGTCGCATTAGGTTAGACGAAGGTACGCGTAACCTGAGCGGTGTCCCTATTCATGCACATATTCAGGTGACACGCTGAGCCCTCGAAAACAGACAACGATACGCACACGACCAAAGTACTAGACGCACCAGAGACTTAGACGCACACGCAGTAGCCAGCTAAAACAACGCACACGATCACGTGACCACGCGAGCCCTAACCACCCACAAAAGACAAGAAGAAGCGGACCTCTGAGAGTTCTTTCACGACCCACAAAGGCGGAATCCCGGTTGTAACGATGCTCCATATTGTGGGTGAAGTGAATCACCACGTAGGGCTGGTGGTTTACGAAAGAACTTTATCCACTTTAGCCCAGTTGTGCTCTGACTCCGAGTGGCTGGACCCTGCTATGTTGTGGGCAGGAATTGAGCTCTGCGTTTTGCAGCACACGTACTGGAGTTCGTGGTGTATTTTTGTGAAGTTATTTGACGTGCCCCCGCCACATGAAGTTTTTGGCTCTTCCGTTGTAGATCTCCTCTTTCATTATAATATCTCTCCAAGTATTCGGGGTTATGTCATTGGATTTTAGTAACTTTTGTTTTACTAACACTAAAATACTCTGCTGACATTCTTTGGCTACTGCTTTTTAGAAAAGGTAGCCGTAATGACCGATCCTAAATGCTTCAAAACACAGAGTAGATCTAAGGTCTGCGGTTTTATTTACGTAACATTAATTACATATAATAACTAATCACAACTGGATCACCCTCAGGCTGACACTAAACAGCCGAATAAACGTTCGAGAACTAATGTGAGCGTAAATGTCAATCTCACCACAATTCAAGATGCTAATGAACTGGTGCTTAGACCTGATAGTTAATCGTGGATATGATAATTACTCAAACTCCTGATTGCGGACTGTGCGATGAATAGACACATGTTCTTAGGGCTAGATGAAGGCTTGTCTGTAGGCGAGGGAGAGTAAACACAAATCTTTGTAGATCATTATGTGGGCGCGGATCTGTGGGGATCCACATTTAGCTAGGTAATACGCGTGCGCGTAAACCTTGACGGCCGGGACAAACACGCACACACGTATACACACAGAGAACATGCTGCATGCACAAACGTAAAGTTCAATGATTTCGGGTCAGACGTCCACACTTAACAGTCCCGCTGCACACAGCGTTATTCTGAAAATCCATTCGGAAATCATTGGATGGTAAGTCCTTAAATGGTCAACTTATGGCGATTGAATTATAACTGACTGCAATAGACCAAGTGGTCAACATGAAATGAAAAAATGAAATGTGTCAGCTTATACGCCGTAACGGCGCTTCGCTGCCGCGCGACCACCACCAGTCGCGCGCGGGCTGAGTATACCGCGAGGACGCCCACCCCTACGCGGATTCGAACCGGTGACCTTACGGTTGGAAAGCAAACGTGCCAACCACTCGGCCACCGGCCGACAAAACATACAGTGGTCTGATTCCCAAGGGTTACATAGTGACCGTTCAAGCTATGAAAAAGTGGTCTACTTTAGAGGTTTTACTGTACTTTATTGGTCTTTGCAACTTTCAACAGTTCATTAGTAAAACCCCGCTGGCTTACATCAAACACTGGGTACACAAAACAGGTGCAAGTAACGGAACTGCAAAGAAAGTGGTTCAAAAGACACGGTGCATGTAAGTTAGGTGGTCTAGTGCAAAACAAAATGCAGCTATCCTACTAAGATGGAAAGACAAAAGCACCAACCTGAGCACCAAGGATGAAAGAGATTTTCCCCCATGAGTAGTGCACGTGTACAGCAGATAAACAGGAGTTTGATGTGTGCTGAGAAACACCAGTTGGGTAGAGCGTTAGCGTGTGATCGGAAACTGAGTAGATGACACAAATTGATCGCGCGTATTCACGAAGGACATCAACACAAACATTCACAACTTTGAGCTGATTGCGGTGGAGCAGTAGAAAACATTTTCGTATATAGCGGCTAAAGAAGGATAAACAAGCACAAAATGTTATGAAGTTCGAAACCATTCGATGATAACGGGGAGCACGAGTAATCGACAAGGTTAGTTAACTTAAACGTCATCATCAACACACGTTAGCCAGAGGTGAGAAACACACCTCAGCTAATGTGACGCGATAAAAAAAAGATAAAACATTAAGCATTACAGGCTAAAATAGTAACATAATGCTAAATATCATATTATGTATTGGGTTTGAGATCGTTGTTGGAGTGGGATGAGAAAGGGGAGGGGCGAGACATACTCACCACGCCATTGAGGTCGGCTCTTCGCCATGTCAACCGTGTTCATCGTCTTTCGGACCCCAGCCTGGCGGTCGGAAGATACCAACGGAGAACAACTTCGAAGTGCAGATTTTCATTCCTCCTGACCAAGTGGGCGCTTGGCTTCCCCTCTTTTTTTCCGTCCAGACTTCAAGCGCGCAAATAACGCACGACGCGGGAGTCGGTGCGCTGGCATGTGCAACGCGTGGCCCAACTATCGGAGCCTGGTGCATCAGAGAACGGAACGGAGCTGTTCGATCGCACTTCCTGCAGCAAATATGCGACGCCGAACGCGTTCATTGCTCACGCGGTGTTCACACTAGACATAGACGAAGCTGCGAAAGTGTACACAATCGCAGCTCACATTGGCCCGGTACCCGAGATCATTGGTCAGAAAGTGTAGAACGCCCTGTGGAACAGCCCGTTAGCATCGCTTTTGTAAACGTGAGTGCACTGCAGCAGAATGATAATTGCCGGAGCAGCAAGTTAGGAGGTTAGACAGCCTAAAAGCACTTCTCATGAGCGGGCTTAGAGTTTAGCATCCCTTGGATCCGGAGTCAAAAATCGAAACAAAGGGATGAAGCGTCGCGAACTATCAAGCCGGAGGTGATAAGACCCATTATTAAAATGCATTCACTGTATAACAGAGAATTTCGAACCAGTCTAGTGGGCGTGAATGTAGCCGTCGAAAGGAGAGACTGCGGCAGATAGAGTGGGCAAAAAAAGATATACCTCAGCGACAGACCCTTGCTTGTACACACTTTCGCTGCTACTGGCGAAACATCAGTGGGTTGCAGCTTAGCGGATAATTAACAGGCGGTTAAGCAGAAAAGCACAGCGTGTAAAACTATATTCTACCATGTAACAATTGAACAATGGTGCATTAAGGGTAAAAGAAGCAATGATTAAGAAGTCCCGTGGAATAGGAAAGATTGAGAAAACCAACATTCATGTTAAAATGTAAAGTGCCTTGTGAACGTCTTGGTGATCGTATTGAGACATGCGTAAAAGACCCGAGATGTCTGTGTGCTAATAGTATAAATTCGCTGGTTAAAATTTCGAAAACACACCGTTAGGTTGCGTTATGTGGCCTTCTGCCTAACAGAAGTTATAAAATGTAATGATAATTGGACAGTGCTTCGTCAAGTCGTTTTTTAATACCGTTATATTTGGGACAGAGACAAGGTAAATAGGGAGTGTTGTACGGCTTACACATTCGGGGTGTAAAGAAATTTCTACGGCATTCCAGTCGGCTATAATGTATTGCTGGCCTCAAAGAATGATCTCTCAGGTCAACGTTGTGGTTCCGTTACAACAGTAGGCGGCAAATGTTGCGCGAATTCTACAGGACCTAGCAAACTTTTATCAGGTCCCTTCGCAAGCGCCGATATCGTCTGTTGTACATTCCTAGAGACTTCAACCTAAGCTGGTAGGGCTCCTAACGCTATTAGATGCAATTCACTGAGTAGCCTGGTGATCAGCGAGATCTTGCCTCCGCCATGACTGCTACGCCTGTGTGGTGCATTGCAAGTGCGGTCGCATGTAGGCGTTAGGAATTTGTGGGAATATTGTGAGGTCAAACCGACCAGACGCTTTGGAAGTAAGCCAATGTGTTGAGTACCGGTTCTCGACAACTTACTGGATTGTTCCGAGCAAACGAAATCGTCTTGAACCAGTGTCCTAAAGTCATGCTCTTGAGAGGCTTTCTGCATGGCGGGGTCTCCAAGGTTGTAAAGGCTCATCGGCCGATGATGCAAGTGGATAACCTTGCATTAGCTATGTTGAAAAGCAGCAGGTTCCTCCGTGACTATTGATGAAAGTAATCCAGACCACGACGGAGAAAAACTGATTTCAATACCATTAAACGACCGCCATATCTCAGCAGGAAATTAGAAGAAAAAACTTGCCAGGTGTCTGATAAACATCAGGAATAAGCGCAGTCCCATCACCCAGCCTTTTGGAACACCACATTCCACCTCAATCGGGTTAATAAGTGATCGCCTAATATGCACTTGAAGCCTCCGTTGTTGGCAACTGAAACAAGGACAGGACTTCCAATTCCACAGCGCTGTAGCCTGTGAAATGGGATGCGGTGATCCAGGTGATGGAAAGCGTTAGAAAAGTTCAGGTAAATGACATGGATTCCGGCCCCAACATAGGCCACGTCTGTCCAAGTACTGCGCGCCATCAGGAGGCTGGTTGTGCATGACGGAATCCACGCTGCTTCGGTGCCAAGACAGAATTTTCCCAGGTAGTCCACTAGAGTCTCAGCGACGACCGCTACCATCTCCGTTGAACGCATAGGGGGGAGACACTGGGCAATAGTTCGCAGGTTCAGAACGGATACCACCTTTAAAAATAAAATAATGATGCCATGCTTCCACACAGTGACGGCTTGTTCATTGGAGTTTCCTTGAGAGAAGCATGACAGGGACTTGACTAGCTTAGTGGCTGTAGCCTTCAGTGCCAATGGGCGAATGTTACCGGCTCCAAAAGGGTTATGGTCACGCAATGAGAGCAAGTTTTTTAGCACAGTTGCTGGGTTGTTAAATTAGACATGTAAATCATGGAGTCGATAAAGTGGATGACTGCACGTGACAGGGACAGGATGCGAGTTCGAAAACCGGGACTTATGGTAGCCGCAGGTTATTGGCTGTTTCGTCGGCGTTTTATATCCTACCGTCTTGTGTACAGTAGAGGAGCGCCGTACTTTACAAAGATTGCTGACATGATAGTACAGTAGTTTGTAGTTTGCCAGAAACATTTTGGCTAGGCACTTGAAAAGTTACTTTGTCCTCACGAACAAGTGTGGTACAGGGGCTGCGGTGGGTCAAGTTGCGCCAAGACTCTGAGTCTGGGATAGCTTTGTACGCATGCCTTGCTGCATCCTCTATTGCCATGCAATGAGTCCTGTTTCTGAGAATGGACGTCACTTTGCAGAAAGAAGTGGTTTAGTTGTTCACTAGGTCCCTGAGTCTTACAACGAACTCTGCACAAACGTTGCCAAGGGAAGAGTTAATGGAGAACTCCCATGTCGATACCTTGAAGAGTTCTTATAAAAGGTGGTAGCCTGTGATTATGTGAGCTAAATCTAAATGTTCCGATGGATACACTACATAGAAAAGTTGGTTAAATGTCATGAGTACATGGCTACAGATAGCTCATGGACTCTAAGATAAGTTTTTGACCATCAGCTCCTCATTTGGTAGCATAGGGTACAGTACGGATGGTTGTTTGTTAACCGGAATCTTTTGGGAGAGGTGACGTGGCTAGTCAAGGGAATATAAGCGATACATTCATGCAGGTTGGCTTAGATCTGTTCATGACGGGATGCTAATACCTCCATGTCGTGATGAGAACGTGACTGTACCTAGGGCGTGTTACCCTATTTAAGGCGCGTAACAAGCGGGAATCTATTTCCTGGATGGATTTTGAGGGAGGTAAAAGGCAGCTACGAGACATGCGTTGCTGTGTCTTAGCTGGAGATGGCAACAGAGTATGTCGGAACATCAACTGTTGCACATTCCAGGTCATTGCAGTAGTACAGAACTTCACCACCATGCAAGAGGGTCGCTAAGGATGAGCGACATGTTATCTTGATCAAACAGCTGAAAATGTAGAAACTGGCATCTCAAGTACCTTAAAACATATATTGTATGGACCTAAGGTCAATAATGCCAGTCTGTAAAAAAAGATAGGAAATATATGTTAAAACAGTTAGTTCCCTTCAGTAGTTTGAAAAATGAAATGAGAAGAGGAATAGTGGCAGATGCTAGCATTCCGTATTATCTCGTCCAATAGAGCCCAGTCAAGCCAATCAAATTTATGGTTGTAGTCATTGTTGAGGGAAATAGGACCACGGCAACCGCACGTTGACAACTAACTGCTTTTGAACACACAAGGCTGGTCTAATTCGGCTTATCGCGACGGCCTCGGAAAATCGTAAAAGGCGTGAATTAGTATGACGCAACAAGATCCAGAACGCCGATAAGGGACTGGCCTTGTGAGGAGTCGCCAAAACGTTCTTGCCTATGGAGGAAGCTGGCGGCTTACGCGAGCATGTATCATCGGAGGTGGATTGAGTAAATTCGCGCAGCACCCAGTTTGGAATCTAAAGCTCGTTCGGTTCTGCCAATGTAACTGATGCCGCAGTCACACACGAATTGATAAACAATGTGATTTGGCGCCGACAGGTGCATCCTCCTTTACTGGAGGTAACGGCAACTTTCGGGTTCTGTTGATAATTACGGCTTCCGCAGCACAGTACGTACGTTGAATGGCCGAGATAATGCCTTTGGTTGTCCTTCTAGCTGCGATGGCACTTTTGAATGTTAGCTCGATGTACACCTTTTTCTTTGGGGCTGTCGACACCACTTCTTCGGGCGGTCTAAGCTATGTTTGTCCATGAATCGCTTTGGGTAGCCATTCACCATAAGCGTCTTAGTGATCAGCTCAAACTCCTCAGGCAGGCAGTTGTTGGAAAAGATACGTCTGGCCCGAGTGAATAATGCTTTTACCAGCGCGTGTGCGATCGGTAAGTCTTTGGAAAAATATTGTGAAGACAATACGGCAGCATAGGAACAGACTCTCCACAACCGGCATCAGGCGACTATGTGTTTCCATAGACTTGTTAGCTTTGCGTTGGTCGTGCCTAATTGCGCTGACGCAATGCGTTTAAGGTTGCGATTAGAAGGCGCGAGC